ACCGACTACGTAATACAACTGGCACAGCACAACACTGCATCGACGTGTCGTTATCGACCTCTGACACTGACAGGCAGTTCAGTGTTTAGGCACTCACGTCCCACACCACGCACGGGAGCCCAGGGGCATACTCGTGAGACGGACATTGATGGATTGACCGACCGTTTTCCCTATGATACTGGCCACCGTATTTCTGCAATTCATGAGGCGATCCGACAGTCCAACTACTCTACAAAACCACGCATGGTATACAATCGATTGCCACTCTTTTATACCACCAGCATTAGGACGCTACTGCACTGACGTCGATGATTAATACAGCAATGCCCCATGGAGCATACGGTTGGGTTCGGTTGATATCATGTGTGCGGTCTTAAAACATTTCAACGTTGAAACACGCCTGCGTAAGGTCAGACTTGAATAGAACAACATCAATACCAACGGCGATTTGACCGAAGATGACGAAGACGAACTACAACCGCTACTGGCAAACAGGCGGCGCGAAACTGACAACCCAACCCTGCAGAGCACAGCAGTTCCAGTTGCAGACTACGGTCCCGACGCAGCCACGCCATTCCGAGCATACGCACACGCACCTGGCAAGACGAAGTACAAGTCCACGAAGCTCATACAATCTACATCGCTCTCTGGCTTGGACACGAATGTGCTCCTGTCTCCATTATGACAAATTGGGCATGTACCTTTAGACAGCCACATCACGATCGCTTACCTATCTGACAGCGACCAGGCCTATCTCCAGCTACTACACCAATATCTTAACGCAGCACTAACCAGATGGAAGCAGACCGACAGCCACGCCGACAGTGAACACCACTCGGCACCGCGACCATACGATATAGCACGCTACAGACCACTACAACGACGACGCGCCGAATCACCATTCCCACATGTCGACATTGCTTCAACAGGTCCGCAAACATGTGATTCTTGCCATACGTTGGGATGCGCTGTCGCAGTTGATTGGCGAGAACAATGTGACTTTACAGCCAGCTCGCTGCAACGCTGACGGTTCAGAACAAGACGTCAAGCAGACATTGCACAATCTCTACAGCCAGCAGGTCACCAAGTGAGACGATTTGGCAAGCGACGAAACCAGTGGCACCTACGCCATCAACCGACAAAACCGGCGCTCTTTCATCTCATCGATGAGCCCGCCCACCAACAGCCTCACTGGTTTCAGAGCTCCTGTCCTTCACGAACTTACTGGCAGACGCAACGCGCACCCCCCCGACGCGACAACGTTTCGCCCACCACCGGCACTGCTCACCAGCAGCCGAGCCGAAACGACAACGAAGCGCTACCACTCACGGACTGCCTCTGTCAATATAATGTGTGGAATCACCAACAGCAGCACGCACCGTACAGGGCAGCCGCGCAATCCAACTCCGACAGGCAGCAGGCACCAGCAGGACATCCACCCGCCGACCACCCGCAGCACCCTTCAGCACCATGGAGCACCATAAGTTTACTTTTTGCTGCGTGTCTAGAAATATCATGGACGCGACTGTCAGCTGCGTGCCGCTATCTGCACGGTTCTGCAGCTCTGCAGACCAGAACAACCAGACAACGGACTGTTTTTCATGTTTTGGCAGCCTTTCGACCACAGAAGCATAATAAAATAACCAACAGGACTGGCAGCACGGACCGACCACTACTTGCACCGCCAGTCCTACTTGGCGGAGGGGCGCGTCAAGGTCTGTGTGAGCACAGTCATACACCGAGCGCCAGTTCTTCCTGTGCGTGCATATCTGCGCACAGGCAAGACAGTTCATGATGCTGGAGGGATCGGTGGGTGTACTCTGTGGCGCGGGACCTGGGGACGCTGCACTGCTCGCCGGTGTATAGAGTTCGATTCCTAATGCATTCCTACATTGTCCCTCTACAGGAGGAATATTCAAAAATAGTCAAAAAATAGTCCGGGGACGATGTTTGAGTATTTTCTGATTATTCTTGAGTATATGTCGGGTATTTTTTATTTTGTTCGTGCACAATCCCACCGTAGGAGGACAGGCCCGACTTAAGACAGGGCGTGTCTAGCCTGGGCCTGGCAGCCCTAAGCCGCCATTGCCATGTCGTCCCTCCCTCCACCCCATCCGCCTTTACGCACCGGTCGCTGAGAGACAGAAGGTATGTGTGGACGCCCGAAGCCCAATCTGATGGTCGAGTGGCTTCGCTTTTTTCCGTCTTCCTTGGGGGGCGGACGGACCCAATCTATGTTCAACGCTTTCCTACTTCATGTTTCTACCTAGTTCTTCCGACCGATGGCTACTTTACACGGCTACATTCGGGGGGGGGGGGTCGGAGACAGGATCGAAGGAGGAGGTCCACTCGTACGCCGCCCCTCCCCGGGTCTCTGCGGGCAGGCCTTCCCCATGCCCAGCGGGCCCCGAACGGCCCGAGGCAGAGGAGACGCGCCGATGCATTCAGCCATCTCCTACAATCTACCTTCTACACTTCCTCCGGCTGCCTGGGGTGCTTTCATTTTCACTTAGGATAGAGCGGGTCTTTGCCACGCTTGCCATTTGTTTACATCACTTCTGCTTACTACTAGAGCAGATACGACGCCAGACTAGGGCAGCATTGCTTTTCCGCTGAAATCGACATTCGTATGACGTGTGGTTTGCTATGTTCTGTTTCAACGCACTAGGCCAGCCTGCTTTCGCAGTGCACATGTAGTAGCTTTTCGCAGCGCTTCCTTTCAAGCAATTCTTGGTTCAGCCTGCAGTGACAGAGCCAGCCTACGGCCCGCCCAACCCGATATTGCAATCTTAAGTGTGGCATCTATCATGGGAAGGGGGATTGCGAGGTCTGGGGAAGTGGTGGTGGATCCTGGTGTATGCGGGACCCTGGTGTATACATGTTTCGGCGTTTCCCCGGGACATCGGGGACAAAAAGTATACACCACACCACCCCAGCGTCGTCCTTGACCTTCAAGAAGTCTTGGGATTGAAAGACAACCCGCCACTGGTTATGTATATGTTCCAGTTTCCGAGCATGGGTGGTGAAGCTCAGGACACAAGGGTACCCTTGATTTGGCAGAGCCGACCTACTCATCAGTCTCGACTGCAACCAGTCCGTGCCATGGCACCCCCCGTGAGAGAAAAAGTGAGCTGCTGGCGGTGCGCAGCGGGCAAAAGGAGGCCCTCCCTACCCTCTTCCCAAGGGAGAAGGAAAAGGAGGAGAGGGAGGAGGAAGGGGAGGAGGAGGAGGAGGAGGAGGAGGACGACGACGACGACGAGGTACTAGAGAGTAGGCTCAAGGTGTATCAACGATGCTGGCACCCTCCCGTCCAAAGACCTCCTCGCACAGGACCACACAAGCTCCCCCTGGCCTTGCAGGCAGCGCCCTCCCTCCAGGCGAGCTCCCGATGGGCTTGCCCTTCGGGCGAGGGTCTCTTCTTGACAACAAAATGCCATGCACCGCTCTGGCGAATTTCGAGGCGCGTGCAACAGGTGTCCAGCGAGAGTCCCCCTGCCGAGAGGGAACCGCCTCCCTTCCGTGCCACTGGCTCACAGCACATGGCCACACGCCTGGTCGTTACGTTCGAGGGTGTGTCAAGCGAGAGGCCCAGTGCGAAAAAGAGTCGCCCTCCAGGAGTGCAGCCGTTAGACATACTTCCGCAGGCCGAGAGATTTTCCTCTTGAGCCCACACGTCGGAAGCGACGCGCCGCTCAGGTGAGCGGATACATGTAGCGGTCTTTTCGAGGTGGGGTAGATATGTTATGGTTGGAGATGCGGGAGTTGGCGGGGCCCGGTGTGGCGTTCGAACAAATGGGAGGACTTTCGGGAGATGGCCAGGCCCGCGGTGGCGCTCGAGCAACCACATCTTATGGGAGAAGTGAAGGGAGATGGCCGGGCCCGCTGTGGCGCTCGAGCTTCCGACTTGGACACTTTGCTTGTGTGTCCTCGCCCTCCCTCATCCCTTCCTCTCCTCCTCCTCCCGCTTCCCCCCTCCTCCTCCCACCTCCTCCCTCCTCCTCTTTCCTCCTTCGTCCGTCCGCCTCCCTCCTCTTTCCTCCCTGCTCCCTCATCCTCCTTCTCCTCCTCCTCCTCCTTCTCTTCCTTCCTCCTCCCCCCTCTTCCCTGATTATTTATCCTCTCTCCCCCCTTGCGTCCCCTCTGTTCTCCTCCCACCTTCTCGCGCCTCTTCCCTCATCTTTCCCTTCTTCATATTGGGAAGACCCCCTCCCCCGTAGAATCATAGCATGGGTCTGCATATCCACAGCACCGTGGATAGCATGATGCTTCACTTGCGGTGCCCCGCGGGTCCCATTTCCCCTGGGTCCCAGATGTTTATTATTATTATTAGTATTATTATTAGTATTATTATTATTATTATCATTATCATTATGCCTATCAATATTATTATTATTATTATTACTATTATTATTATTAGTATTATTATTAGTATATATATAATAATATTCCCGGGAAATAACTGGATCCATCGTTTTTCACACACACACACAGGAAATTTGATCCGCGCAACACAGAAATAGGATCCACGGAACGCTCCCACACCCGAAAAGGGATGCAATTGGATCCATGGATGTTCCCGTATTTTTAGTCCAAGGGAAAAAACTGTCGGCCTGGGGATGTATGTTGACGTTTCTATGTTGTCGAATGTTGATGAAGTCTTCAGCGAGGGCTCCAACGCAATCGTCGTCCGTCCTTGATACTCCATGGAAGCGTTCAAGCCGAATGCGCGCGGCGATAAGGCGAGAGCCCCTTTTCGAAAGGAACGGACCTCCATCCTGGAAGCTCGTGCGCACGTTTCAATCGAATGTGCGCGGCTCTGAGGCGGGAGCTTTCTTTTTAAAAAGGAACAGCTCTCCCTTGAAGTTGTTGTAGCTATTCCTTCTGCGGGCACGGCCGGTGGTGCTACAGGGTCTCGCGTTACATCAGGAGTAGGGGAAAGGTGGAGGGAGGAGGAAGGACGTGGAAGATGGAGGCCGCCCGGTGCGACCCCTCCTGCCCAGATTCCTCTACCACCCGCGCCGCTACGACGCGCTCCCCTTGTGGGACCAGGCGGGGCGATGGGTAGGAGGGCTTGTCGGCACAAGGCTTCGGGGGAGGGGGATGAGCAGGCGAGGGCGGGGTGGGGCCAGAGAAGGGAGGCACAGGAAGGATGGGTCCAGACGACCACAGATTAGATATTCCTCTTGGGTGGCCTGGACACCTGAAGACACGTGGGCCCTTCGGCCGCACAGCTGAACAAACACATGGATCCATTTCGCGCCAGAGTGGAACAAGCGTGAAAACACGCGGGCCCCTTTCGCCCCAGAGCGCAACAAACATGAAAACACGTGGGTCCTGTCCGCGCCAGAACAGAAAAATGTTCCTTTTCACGCCAGACCGGAACACGCGTGAAAACACGCGGTCCTTTTCGCGCCAGAGCGGAACAACCGCGAAATCGCGTAGATTTGTTTCGTGCCACAGTGGAACTGATGTGAAAACACGCAGGTTCCTCTCGCGCAAGAGCAGAACAGGGTCCTTTTCACGCCAGACCAGATGACGCGTGAAAGTGCATGTGTCCTTTCCGCGCCAGAGCGGAACAAGCGTCAGAACACGCGGGTCTCCTTTCGCGCCAGACCGGACGACGCGTGAAAGCACGTTGCCCCTTTTCGGGCCAGAGCGGCACAAGCGTAAAATTTCGTGGGTCCTTTTCGCCCCAGAGCGGGACAAGCGTGAAAATTTCGTGGGTCCTTTTCGCCCCAGAGATGGAGAAGCGTGAAGACATGTGGGCCCTTTCGACCCAGAGCGGAAATAGCGTGAAAACACGTAGGCCTTTTCCGGCCCAAGGCGAAACGAGCGTGAAAGCACGTGGGTCTTTTCCGCCCAAGAGCAGAGCAAGCGTGAAAACACGTGGGTCCTTTTCGCGCCAGAGCGTAACAAGCGTTAAAGTGCATGGGTCCCTATCGCGGCAGAGCGGAACAAGCGTGAAAACGCGTGGGTCCCTTTCGCGCCAGAGCGGAACAAGACGTTCTTAACTCCTCATGTTGGACATCCGCCTGGGCAACCTGGATACGTGAAAGCAAGCGTCTCGCTCGAGACATCCTCAACACACCTTCATGTCAGACATCCGCATGAGCGACCTGGACCAATGAAAGCAAGCGTTTCGCCCGAGACATCCTCAACACATCCTCATGCTAGACATCAGCCTGGGCGACCTGGACACGTGAAACCAAGCGCCTCGCTCGAGACATCCTCAACGCATCCTCATGCTAGACATCCGTCTGGGGCGACCTGGACACGTGAAACCACGCGTCTCGCTCGAGACATCCTCAACACATCCTCATGCTAGACATCTGCCTGGGCGGCCTGGACGCGTGAAAACAAGCGTCTCGCTCGAGACATCCTCAACACATCCTCATGCTAGACATCCGCATGCTAGACATCTTGGGCGGCCTGGACGCGTGAAAACAAGCGTCTCGTTCGAGACATCCTCAACAAAGCCTCATGCTAGACATCTGCCTGGGCGGCCTGGACGCGAGAAACCAAGCGTCCCGCTCGAGACGTCCTCAAGGTCTGGGCACGTGAAAGCAAGCATTTCACGATCTATAATACAAAACAAGCGTCTCGCTCGAGATATCCTCATCAAATTCTGCAAAACAAGCGTTTCGCTCGAGACTTCCGTGCGCAAATCGAGGCCCGGCATCTGGTTGACCAGCTAAAAGAGAGCCCTCGAGCATATGCCCATGAGGTCCAGACGATTTGTCCGCAGAGGTGGTTCGTGTCGTTTTCGGACCTCCATGCGTGTCTGGTGATTCCGTCGGCCAGTCAGGCACACGCACACGAGAGTTCACATAGTTCTTGGCAATCGTGGCCTCGCGCGCACTGACGAGGCGGAGACAGTCGGTACGCACACACACACACACACACACACACACACACACACACACACACACGCGCGCGCGCGCGCGTTTTTCGTAAGCGGCGAGGCGGCGAGATCCACACCAGCGTGAAGCTAGATAGGGGCACGAACTAGCGAGTTGGTGGGCAAGCAAAGAGGGAAGGGCACGGCCGAGAGGAAGGAGGGACGCTCATACGCCGAAGAGTTTACACACCCACACACACCTTTCTCGCGTCGGCGGCTAGGCAGGAGGACTGCTCTGGCGATGCAGCATCAGTGGGACACAAACACACAGACACACAACGCGAATGAAGCCGCGGCGTACGGGGAGAAAGAGAGGAGGCCCGGCGCGGGCGAAAAGGAGGAGGAGGCCAGGCCCGCTCAGAGCTGGGCTCCTCCTCCTCCTCCTCCTCCTCCTACCTCCTCCTCCTCCCTCCATCCTTCTCCTCCTCCTCCTCCTCCTCCTTCTCTCCTCCTCCTCCTCCTCCCTCCATCCTCCACCTCCCTCCTCCCTCCCTCCCTCCCTCCCTCCCTCCCCTCCCTCCCTCCCTCCCTCCCTCCCCCTCCTCCTCCTCCTCCTCCTCCTCCTCCTCCTCCTCCTCTTCCTCCTCCTCCTCCTCCTCCTCCTCCTCCTCCTCCTCCTCCTCCTCCCGCTCAGAGCTGGGCCGGGCGGCGGCTGCGGGGGCGCCGGGGCTGGGGACCAGCCGCAGCGGCAGGGCAGCAGGGTAGGCAGCCAGAATCAGGTGATCGCAAACATGGATTAAGGGGGCGTGGCGTGGATTTGCGACGGCTCACGTTTCCATGGGAAATCACAGATTTCCGCCGCCGAACGAGGCCGCACCGGCCGCATTTGGGGGAGGGCACCTCCCCCGATCCATGATTTGGCGACCGCGCGCCAAATCCATGGATCGCTCATTCATGTCTGCGCGCCCCCGGCAGGGCTGCAGGGCAGCAGGCCCAGCGCGCGCCAGAGACTGAAACAGTACAGCAAGGCGGACGGTGGTGCCGAGATCCGAGTGGCCTCCAGGCACACACACACTCACACACACACGCACACACACGCACACACACACACACACACACGCACACACACACACACACATACGCACACACACACACACACACGCAGTCACGCAGGTCACGCTGGTCCACGGGAAGAGGTCCACGCTCTCGGGAGCCACGTTGTGAGAACCACGACGTCGGATGGCTCTGGAGGTAGGTGGGAGGGGGGGAATTGGTGCTCGATCTGGTGATCAAGCTGGAACTGACACGGACGAAGGTCAATCGGCGAAAGCCTCCAGGGGGCCCGCCGCTTTGGCCGGATCCGCCTCGAAGTCCCGGTCAAGGCCGAGCTCAAAGACGGATCGGGGGGGGGGGGTCCGGCGGCTCTGCGCGGGCGAGGAGCGGTGTCAGATCTCGTGCAAGGGAACGATTCGTGGGGGCCTTGCGTGTCCTCGGAGTGCCATGTGCAGATTGCCGCAGCGCGCGCCGGCGTCTCATAACTGGTGAAAAAGTCGCACAGCAAGCTGCTGTGAGCGTGGCTTCGACCAGAGTCGACCGGCGTCGGCTGGCGCCGATCCGCAAGAGGCAGCAAGATGGCGTGGGAGGCCCCCACGAGGAGCTGCCACCGAGCATGTGGTCCGCAGTCCGAGAGTGCCTGTGCCAGGGCGGCTGGAGTGTTCATAAAGGAGGTTCGTGTCGCGCCGACGCGGCAGCTACCCCGCCGCGGGCGTTCAGGGCTGAGTGCCGCCATTGGCACACGATCTGCCGGTACGGAAGGACCTGGCGATCGAAAAGCCCCCGATCGTGTTGGGGTTGCGTGATCCGCGTGGTGTCAAAACACAATTTCGGGGTGGTCACGGCACGAACCCGCCACGGCGGCACGTGGGACGTAGAGATGTTCCAGCCGTCTTTGGACCATAGTGGGCGCCCCGGCGGCAGTAGAATGAGTATGATCGACCGCTCGTAGTTTGCCGAGGCTCTGAGGGCGACGGGCGATTTTTAGGGCGAGTTGAGAGAACTGGGCGTGGTTGCTGTTCGGCCGAGTTCGATTTTCATGAAAACAATGATACACCTGCGTGGCTATTCTGTAAGTCGAAGACGGCTTCAAAAGGACACGTGGCTATCTGATGCGAGCGATATTGGGAATCATGGGCGGCGTACTCGTGCGCGGCGGTGCGGCGCCGAGAGGACGATCCACACGGCAGGACGGAGCGGAGGGGAGGCGTACGAGTTCGGCGGGCAGATGTGCACGATGGAGAAGGCACCTGCCCGCCTGCGTGCGCCTCCGCCGTCCTCCCCCCCTCCCCCCTTCTTTTGGCTACGGGTCGTCGTCCTCCCCCCTTCTCGTCGCCTCCCACCCTTCGCCAGCTCGAGGCTCGAGGTCTTGGGACGTTCTCGTCGTTTCTCGACGGTTCCCCACCCTCGGGATGCCTTTCTTGCCGCTGCGCCTCGCCGAGAGCTTTCCCTGTGGCGCCCAGCTCGTCCCGAGCGGCCGTGCCGGAGACACGAGCGACCCGAGGGCCAGACGACTCTTCGTCCGTGGAGTCCCTGGGTGCGCGCCTTCCGTGGGCGCGGGGGCGGGGGGGGAGCGGGGCGGGGCAGGCCCAGGCACACGGGCCTCAGGATGTACCGTTTGGGAGGTTCAATTCAGCATGGGCGCTGGTACATCCGGGGTCGAGGAGGAGGAGGAGGAGGAGAACCCGCCTAGCCTGGCGAATCCCGCCCAGCCCCGCTCAGCCCGGCTTCATCTGGCCTCATCCGGCTGAATGGCGAATGGCAAGGCAATTTGGTTTCCTAGCCCCCCAATCGTTCTTGTGAAGATCTCCCACGGATTGCCTCCCCACGGGCCGCTACCTGTCGCATAGCGTGCCGCCATCGGCAGGCCGCGAGCCAGAGGTCATTCTTGTCCAGGGCTATTCCTGCGCGTGTAGCAGCCCTTTGACGTCGATCGCCGGAGTCGCCATGGGCGTTCTCGTCGGCGACGTCGTCGTCGTCGTCATCATCCAGGTCGTCGTCGCCCAGGTCCTCGTCGCCGCCGTCGTTGTCGTCTTTCTGGGTGTCGTCGTCGTCGTTGTCCAGGTCGTCTTCGCCCAGGTCCTCGTCGCCGCCGCCGCCGTCGTCTTC